CCCTTTTTTTTCTAAAAGGTTTTATTTCCATGCTGCTTTTAAAATCATTCCCTTGAATGTAGGAAAAAAGAACTTTTTAAACCACATCAAACACAGAGTAATTTACAGACCCTGATCTTGACCCCAATTCTATATGAATTCAAACAAGACCTAAGTGAAGCAAAAATCCACTGACAGCTTTACCTTTTGTAAAAACATTGCTTGCAAAATTTTAATCTAAAAATACACACACATACCCAGCCCCAACACTGATTCTATATGGATTCAAATAAGACTTAAGTGAAGTGAAAACCACAGACAGCTCTACCTTTTGTAAAAGTTAGACTGTTTGCAAATTTTAACCTGAAATACACATGTGCACGCACACACATACACGTTTGCAAATTTCACAGATAACACAAATACACACATACACACAAACATTTTGAAGCATGATCTTAATAAAATTTTATTTCCACCCCCCTCCCTCCAGCAAATCCAGGAAAATTTAACCAGGGAATCAAATACACAAGCAGTAACCAACCAAGCAGCAAGTATTCAACAGTGATATTTATTATTGATATGCCTAGACATGTCAGAGCCACAATTCTGGGCATGCGCATGCATGTTTGGAACGGATGGGAGGGAACGTATGCATGTCCAGGCTTGTTAGAGCCCATGATTTTGTGTGCCCACTGAGTTGTTGACGTGTCAGCTACAGGCCGCTGTGAAGTTCAATGGTTTAAGCTCTGGCTTGCATTTGAAAATGATATGGCGGACCTTGATGGTGATTTGTTTGATGTAAAATTGACCCCAAACCTCCAAAACGTGGATGTAGAATCAGAAGAAAACTTGATCCATGTTGCTTCTTTGATGAGAATGCTCAGGATGAACTTATACATTCTTGTTATTGCAGGTTCTGTAAATCAACCAATGGTAAGTAAAAATAAATGTTAAGAAAAATAGTATTTTATTAGTTGAACTGGCAGCTTAATTCTATCTTATTTCCTGTTTAGAAATGAAACTGCCTCAAGATGCAGCATTGACACAGATTCTGAAATGTTCTGTTATCAGGATGGTACATCATTGTTTAATGGGACACGTACAAGAAAATGAAAACCGAGTCGACAGAGCCAACGAAACACAGTTTATTCAAAGCTTATGCAATAGACTTCCCAAGCCTGAGGTCCTGTGGATTATCACAACCATTTCCAACAAACTGGATAAATTATATTTCACAAAAGACAGAGTGTGAACTCTGGGCATTCATACAATGTATGAACCCTAATCCACTTTCAGTAATGTCAAACGTTGAGGCTGATTTACCTGTATTTCTGAAGAGGGTCATATGTCACAATGTAAGAGAACTTAATTACAAGAAACTGTTAACAATCACCCAGTGAATTTTCTAACAAACTATATTTACAGGCCATTTGAAAACTGCTTTATTTCTTTTTGTTAACCCTTGTTTAACTATGTCAGATGGTAAACACAGATACAATTTATTCACAACATGTGTGATATTATTTAGGGGGGCCTGACTGGTTTTGCAAAAGGTGTTAAGAATTCAGCATCTCTGGTGCAATTAGTTTGTGACGTCAACAACATGTATAAAGTACTGTAGGAGGCCCATACTGAAACAGTCAGGAACGCAGGAGTCTGAGTGACCCATCTGTCCATCTTGTACCATTTGCCAGCAAAGCAGACCTGTTTCAGAATGGATGCAACTAACATAAGTAATTTATGGCTAATTTTAAGATGTAGGGCCTGTTAGATGCAATACCATATTTATAACTTTTTGTTGGTGGTGGGTTCTTGCATTAGAATGAAGTCTCAGACTCACAATGCCTGAAAGCCTACAAAGGTATTATTTTTCCTTTCACACAAATAAATTTCAGTAGACGCATGTAAGGTTTCTACAGCAAAACTGATCTCTGCTTTTCTCTATTCTTTTCCTTCAGAATGGGAGGAAGATCAGATCTTTGCCAATTTTCCAGTGCCCACAGATTCACAATGGGCTCTATAGATTATTTATTTATTTATTTGGTTACTGTTGCTTCTGTTGTTTTATCCAGAGCCATCCTGCAAAAAAGCAAAAATGCATAGTGGTGGATTTCCTACAGATTCTCCAGATAGTATCAGCACAGAATAGTCTATACCAGAATCCCTGCCAGCAGAGGAGATGCAACAGTCAGTGGGGCCAAATACACAGAATTTGGACAACATGTACCTGGAGAGTATTCAGAAGTGGGAAAGATTTATCAATAATTTCAATGCCGTGGAACATTATGTACATTCTAGATTTGTAAAGCTTGATCATATTTGTTCATTCACACAGGCTATAGATGTTATTCATAACGAGATACAGATTCTTTTGAATAATATTTCTAGGGTGATAAGACCCAATGATTTTGTTCAGCTCCAGCTGGATGCAGAGGGTCTAAATCAACCTCCCTTTTCTGTTAGGAGACATTTAAATGCTGCTGTGTTCCTGAGCCATGTTGAAGGCATGCTACAGGGCAATGTTGAAGTGTTGTGGGGTGGCGATTTACAACTAGTGGTCACCATCATGAAGGACCGAGAGGGGAGCAGGCTTAGGAAGTTAAGCACCGTACTATTCACCAGGGTCCTGGAGAAAAAAATATGCCATCTGATTGATTTCAACATGGAGGGGGGATTCTGTGTTTTGCTGGCTGTTTGCTGTATTTGTTAGACACCGGGTCGTTTACAAAGCAAGAAATCATTACTAGAGCCAAGGATCTCCACAGCAGACTGGGCAGCATGCTCTGCAAGGAGGTGAAAAGCGGGTAGGTACAGTCAGGTCCAGAAATATTGGGACATCGACACAATTCTAACATCTTTGGCTCTATACACCACCACAATGGATTTGGAATGAAACAAACACAATGTGCCTTAACTTGTCAAAGGCTTTCACGGCCGGCATATGATGGCTGGTGTGGGTCTTCCAGGCTGTGTGGCCGTGTTCTG